CATCAAAGCAGTTGAAAAAATACTTGTTTTCCTCAATATTGATGACAAAAAACTGAGCAAAATCCAGCGCATAGGCAGAAATGAACCAGACCGGACAACCCATCGCACGCTTATTGTAAACATGGAAAACATGCTCAGCAAAGAACTCGTGATGAAAGCTGCCTTCCGGCTGAAAGATTATGACCACGCTGTGTTCACTAGTCGAGAAAAGTCAACATCAGACACCAAATTTGAAAACGATTGCCTACGCAAAAGGCGATTCTTAATCGAAGATAAACAGATAGACCGAGAAAATATCAGAATCCGTAACTTGAAACTGGAAACCAAATACGATGATAAATGGGTCGAGTATAGTGAAAACAAGGACACAGCTACAGAAAGCGAGTCCGAATGACTACGTCAAATCAATCTTCTATCCTTCAATGTGAGAAGCATTCTGAGTCTCCAAAGACGAATGGTCTTCTCTAACTCTATATCTAAAACCAACTATGACTTAATTTGTCTATCAGAAACATGGCTCACCTCCGAAATTCCTAACAGCGCTCTCTTTCTTCCGGCCTACACAATATACCGGAAAGATCGTGTATGTGAAAACTTCCGATCAAAACACGGAGGAGTCCTCATAGCGATAAAAAATCAAATCCCTCATGAAGAAGTAGTTCTTCACAACTGTAAAAATGATTTAATGGTATTAAGACTTTGTACAACCCCGAAGCCCACACTAGTGTGTGCAATATACAACCCACCGACAAATAGCCCTTACCAATGGTCTTTCCAAGACTTTGTGCAGTTTTTTAATAGCCTCGAAAGTCATACCAGTGAAATAAGTTACGATCAAATCATCATAGCTGGGGATATCAACTTTTCGAAAACAAATTGGAGCGACATGAGCTCAAATGACGAATACGAAAACGGTATATTAGAAATTCTTATTGAACATAATTTTTCCAATATATCAGAATCTCAGTTAGATGTCATCCTGACGAACAACCCCGACCCAATTACAGACAGCAAAAAGGACCTAGACGTCCTAAGCAATTTTAGTATCAATAACAAACCTTGCTCGGACCACAAGCCAATAAACACAAGCTTTATTGCTTGGAAAAATTCTATCGTAATTCCATCCATAACAAAATATGCTTTTAAGAAAGCAAATTGGATGAAATTAACAATGTTATCCTTACTTTTCCTTTTGACCCCTACTGTTATAGCAATGTCGACTTTCTAGTCAAACAATAGTATAACTGGATAGAAGACATAATAAACAACAACATACCCAAAGTCACGAATCATCGATCGTCACTTCCACCCTGGATCTCAAAACAATCTTCTTTTCTAATAAAGAAAATAGCAACGAAAAAGCGTCAATGGCCAAACCCAAACATACAAAGATCTATAAAAATCAAACGATTGGAAAAACAGTTAAGCTCCTTAATCGATTCTGATCTATGTTGTTTTGAAGCTGATATATTCCAAACACGACGTTTTAGCAGCATACAGAAATATCTGTCGTCAATAAGAAAAAATCCATCAATAACCCCAATAATAAAGCTCAACGAAACGATTGCGGAGTCAAGCGAAGACAGAGCAAATCTTTTTAACTCATTTTTTGAATGTGTTTTACAAAAAAAAACAATCAATAACGCCAGATCATACCAAAAGAGAAGTTAACGATATACAAATTACGGAAAAGAAAATCGAAACCGTGCTTGAAAGTTTACAGCTGAACAAGTCAACAGGACCCGATAATATTGGTAATATCGTCCTCAAAAATTGTTATAAATCCCTGCCGAAATCACTCCTTCTGCTTTATAAAACAGTAATGAATAAAAGTGTGTATCCGAGTTACTGGAAGATAAGCCAGGTGTCGCCTGTATTCAAGGAAGGAAACAAAGCAGATGTTAGCTGTTATCGTCCGATAAGCCTATTGTGTTGTATTTCAAAAGTGTTCGAAAAAATTCTTTTTGATCAATTGTATGAGCATAGTTGCCACAAACTGCATGAAAACCAATTTGGTTTTCGCAGACAAAGGTCAGCTGTAGTCCAACTATTGCTCTTTTTAGACTCTGTATACAAAAAGTTCGACGACAAAAACATAAAAGAATGGGCAGTCATTTATCTAGACTTTGCAAAAGCATTTGACAAAGTTGCGCATCATTTGCTTATCGATAAACTTAAAATATTTGGAGTGGGCGGAAAACTACTTAATATCATAATTTCATATCTCGATAAACGCAAACAATTCGTTAAAATTGAAAACGCCTCGTCTAATCTAATACAAGTCAGCAGTGGAGTACCCCAAGGCTCTATCCTAGGTCCGTTACTCTTCTTAATATTCATCAATGATCTACCCAACGCAAGCCCTCACCTTGAAAGTTATGGTTTTGCCGATGATTTTAAACTAATTGCTCTGAATGAAATCGACCTAAGGAATGGCGCTCGGGGACTTGATAACTGGTGTTATGAAAACTTAATGACGACAAATACGAGTAAATGTAAATTACTAAATTTAAGAGGAAATCTATCCACCAAACTGAACGACACCGAACTTCATCCCACGAATGTTCAAAAGGATTTGGGCCTCTTAATAACCCCAAATCTTACATGGAACGAAAACTGTAAAATGCGTGCCCAAAAGGCAACAAGGGCCTTTTTCCAATTAAAACGAAACATATCCGCTACGTGCTCATAGGTTAACAAACTCCACTCGTATACTGGCTACATCGTCCCGATTATAACTTACTGTTCACAAGCTTGGTCACCAAGTAGAGCCAACTTAGTAAGCTTCGAACGAGTACAAGTAATGGCCACAAAGTGGATTCTTAATTGCAATCTTGACTACAAAGGAAGACTAGTCAAACTTAAACTACTGCCATTATGCCTCTACGTTGAAATGCCTCTACATCTTCTCATGTATTTATCCTTAGTAAATTCCAAATATGACATATCAATTGCTGTTGAATCTTCTAAGGAAGAAAAAACTCGCCAACACAGCAGAGGAGAACATGCAGTCAACAAAAACAGACTGAACAAATCAGACGAAAACTTTTTTCACAGAACGAAACTCTTACACAACATCTTCATCAAACACTACGAAGAATATGGGAACCAACTTGACAAAAAATCAATAAGCAAACTTTATTGGGATTACTTTGTCAGAAAATTCAATTATCTAAACAGATGCACTTGGAGAATTATCTGCAAATGCATTCACTGTAACAACTGGAAAAAACTCAAACTTAACTTGATGAAAACATGTAAATGACGGGACTCATAAACCTTGGGAAGCGTGACTTCCCAGAAGCCTCAACTACTACTACTACTACTACTACTACTACTACTACTACAATAGACTTCCAATAAATTTTGCTGAAACATTAATTTAAAAAAGTTTCGACATACAATTTTTGGTAATTTAAAATCTTTTTCTTCTTTATCCCCTGATTTCTAAAAGCATGGTGTGGTACATTGTCTCAAGTTTTTAGAAATTATGATATTAATCTGATGAAAATTTAAATTATCCAATTTCTTTTTTTTTGAATTTGATCCCTTCACCTGTTTCGAGTTTGTGAATCCGGGAATGGCACGCTCGTGTCTACTATTGGATTATTTTGAAAATTAGTAAAATGTCGCAGCTTCTGAATTTCAATGAAATTTAACGCGATAAATATTTTCCGAAGGTGGGAAGTTGAAAATAACTCAAAAACAGTGCATAACTTTTTAATTACTGGATCTATTTGATTTCATTGACATTTTCCAGCTGTCTGTTGAATCTAATTTTACAGTTGTTATTCTCTCCTAACACAAACAAATCATACGCTCAGCTTTGTAACGGAATGATTTTTTTTTTGGTTTTTGAAGATATCAAGTCCTGATTTGAAGATTGCTCCAAATATTTGCTTGCGTTCGGGTCCTGTGTGAAAGGTTCGCGTTTGTTGATATTTGTGTAGTCCAAAAGCTAAAGGTATCATTTTTACACTCGATTTTTTGGGCCAAAGTTTTCAAGTAATGCATTTCGCCTTAAGGTATTTTTGTTGCCGAGTTAATTTACAAAGTTAGTGAGTTTTTCTTGCGCTTTTTATGTTGAAAAAGATAAAAATAGGAGAGATAGGATAGGCATTTTTTAAATAGAAAACGAAGCAATTTTTTCATTCGGTTCATTTTTATTGCGTATTCAGCTTATTTTAACGAGCAACCTCGAGTTTTTTAACGTCATTGATTTGGCCCGAAAAATGATGATCTCGCAAAGTTTACGTTAGATTTGCCTGAGTTTTTTTTTCATTTTGATTTGCTTTCGAAGCTTGGAAAAAGACAAAATTTGAAGTTCAATCTCTTCGGTTCCCTGGGAGAGATCCCATTTTTTCCAGGGCAGAAGCGGCAAATTACAGGGATGACGATGTATTTTTAATTACTTTTTGGACAGATTTTACAGCCAAACGTATATTTTTGTCCAGCACGACGGCTAACCAGGTTTAAATCCTGATCGGAGACAAAAATTTTCCTTGGTTTTTTTTCTTCAAATTGCGTATGAAGTGAATTTAATCAGTTTTTTCTTTTTCACCAAATCACAGCTCTGGTCTAATGTATCTGTCGCGCGCTTACATGCTAAGCGGGCAGTTTATAACCTCATTGTAAGAGAAAACATTTTGAGTGACTTCATATCAATACATTAATTTCCTTTTGATTACCATCAACTATACAAACAACTGTACACGCATACAAGGCTGTTTTGCGTCCCCACAGGAACTTGAGCGGAGCAGAGCAGCTGTTAAGACGGTGTTCCACTTATTCTATGGTCAATCGTTTATATCCCCTAGATTTTTAGTTTTTGCTTTAATCACTTTGAGCGTGTTTGGCTTAGACGGTAACACGATTGACTGTTGAGCAGGAGTTAACGCTTCTAATCGAGGGAAGAATCGTGTGGAATGGAATGGCATTACAGAGATGTAAATTTGAGGCAAAAGTTAGGTACAAATAGAAAAAAAAACCTAGAACCCTGATTAGTTTATGATCCTTGAATGGTTAAAGATCTTTGATCCTTCCCTAGCCTCTGTTCATTGAAAACATTCCTTTCAAAATTTTTAAAGGATCTTTTTTCTTCCAATCAGAGCGACAATGTTTGATGTCAAGTTTCCATATTTGCGTAAAGTCCAAATGAAAAGTCCATTGTATATTCTGCTTTGTCAGCTTTATTAGAGTACATTCATTGCAATCTGGCAATTAATTGTCAAGTTAAATTTATTTCATAAATAAGGACATTGTTTCTCATGCGTGCAAAGTGCATCGTCATCGCATTGTAAAAACTTTCATGCTCATTTTTTGCCCACTGTATACCCTTGCGATAGCAGTTTGAGTTTTGAAGCTCGCATATGAATTTCGCCAGTGCGACAGTTCGTAACAAGCGACCATTCGTAACAGGCGACAATTCGTAACAAGCGACAATTCTTAATAGGCGACAATTCGAAACAAGGCATTGGCTAGTAGATTATGCTTGCTCCGCTGCGCTTACATACAACACGAGAGGACTACTTCGCGTGAATCAGTGTTCCTCGCTCAATCTACTGTTACGAATTGTTGCTTGTTACGAATTGTCGCCTGTTACGAATTGTCGCCTCACGGTGAATTTCGTTTCCTGCGTGGATCTGAAGTTACGCTTCCGATAACTAAAATAGAAATGACGAACAAAATTTGTGGCCTTATCGCGTTTATTTTCCTGTTCAGTAAGTGTACTTGCAGGTATTATTGGTTCATTCATATAATTTGCAAATATATTAGCCCTGACTTAATTTGTTGATTTTTTGCCTTACAGCTTTCTTCGGCCTAAATACTTTTGTTTTGGCTCATGATTTATCGAATTAGTCAAAAATTTTTGTGTCGTTAGAAGGGAAAAAGTTCATTACTTGCAATTAATTTAAATTGGTTGTGATGTAGAATTTCAAAGTTTTAGTACTTACTCGATCAAATTGTATGACATCTTCAAGTTTTGTCAACTTATTAGCCGCTCGGTAGATACTAAAAGCAAATTCAATGCTGATGGTTGTTTTTCTCGGCTGTTTTTTGTGATATTGAATTTTCGTTTTTTTTTTTCAAAAAAAATTACATTTAAAGAGATTTCTGTCGCATCTTTTGTTCGCTAGCTTGCAATGCTACATACTTGCGTCGCATCGAAGAGAATTTTCGCTTCGTCTCTGTCATAAAAACATAAAATTTTTCTGATTTCTGTTAGGCCCACGACCTCTTCGCACAGCTTCAAAATAATTATGGGAGACGAAGTACATCAAGAGCCTTTCCCAAGTGCATTTAAACCCAAAGTTTCTATCGAATCCAAAGTTGCTCAGCAACTGAGAACGGTTGCAGCAGACGACGAGGAAGTTGAAGAAGAGGAGGAAGAGGCCGATGATGATGATTCCTATCGAAAAGCGATAGCTTCAACTGTTTTCAAATCCAAAGATGGAGCAATGTTGAAGCGTAAAGATCATAACGTCGGTCTGCCCCCGCTATTTGACGAAGATGTGCATGACGTCACCATTTCGAGACAACTGAGGCAGTTCGTCGATGCCACTGAGTGTGTGAAGGGGGGTAGGGGTTGGTGGAAGCACGAATTCTGCTATCAACAACATATCTATCATTTGCATTATGAGACAAACCCTCAAACTAAACAATCTTATGTGCAAAAACGAATTGTCCTTGGGATGTGGAGCAAAGATGAACATATCAAATGGACGAAAGGGCAGCCGAAAGAAGCATATCGCAATCTTGACGCGAAAAAATCAACAGTTACTCTATATTACGGACAAGGCGATATATGCCACGAAAACAATGATTATAGACATACGTTGGTAAAATTGAGATGTTCGCCTAGTACCAAAAGCACAGCTAGTATTTCAGTATCATTGACTGAACCAAAACTATGCAGTTATATTATGACAGTCGATTCAGGTATGTTTTGTGATCTTTTGAAACATGTAGATGAATATGGAATTCCAATTAGAGGCCAGTAAGTCGACCATTTTTGCTGTTTAATGCTTGTAATTTCAAATCAGTTTGCACGGGTAAAACAAATTAAGTCGGAAAACAGAAACAGATTAAGATTATTATGTGCACTTACAGTTATACTGTTTTATAAGATGAATCGATGCTTTTCAATACAAAAACTGCCAAATTCAGGCACCTCTTAATGTTTGGCATTGTTTAAAGAAGAGCTAATACATCTCACCAATTCAGAAATCAGCAAAAGTTTTGGTAAATATAAGTAACAGTAGTTATAAGTAAGTAAAAACAAATTCCTGGGTAGGAATTATTTCGAAATTTATAGCCGGTTATCGATTCAGAAACATCTTAATATGAATTTCGATATTTTTCCCACCTTTAAACCTGTGGAGCCTCCCATTTCAGTACTATTCTAGGACATCTAATTTTTACTCACAGACTCTTAAATTGTTGTAAAGGCGCTAGTAGTATTGTTATTTCACACGAGGATGGGGGGAGCGGGTGATCACCCGTAGGGGTCATTGGAATCACTAATGAGCCCATGTATAAAATTTTTTGGCAATAATCTCTACTCTATGTACTTCTAAGGATCTCAACTATAAGTTTTTGTGGGAATGACCCTTAGTTTTTTGCTATATAGTTTGCAAATAAGTGCCATTTAGCTGTTAACTATTTAGAGCAAAGAGTGACTCAAAAAAGTGCCATATCTCCTAATCCCGTAATAGTATTTAGGGGTAGCAAAAGGTGCCACTAACATCAAACTTAGTGTTTTGTTGGGAAAGGTACCACACAGTAACAAATTTGGGGTAAGACTAAAAACCTAATTATTATAAATTTGGGTGTAAAGAACAAAAATTGGGCTATCCTACCTGTGTACCCTATGTTTAACTTTAGTACCCTATCCAAGTCGTTTTCTGAATAGGCTCATTTTCAAAAAAACGACGCGGAATTTTATATAATCAGAAAACGGTCGCAGAAAGCGACTTGGGTCTGAGTGTAATTAGAAACCGATCCAAAAAACAACTTTTGGTCGATACCTGTGTTGGACTTGGAAAATGGCAGAGTTTTTCCAACAAACGACTTAGGGCTAAAATAACACGTGAATTGGTCAAAAAATCATACGAAAACCGCTAAAAGCTATGAAAACTGGTCAGAAACCTCATAAGTTACCAAAACTCTCTGGGAAACCACCAAAATTTCACAAAAAAAACACTACAAATATGAAAAACAAGTAGCGTGATAGAAAATTGGTGGGAAACACCAAAAAAATGGCCCAAAAATTCAGAAGCAAAAAAAAAACCGCTAAACTATAAAAATTGGTCCAAAACCCTAAAAGATGCCAGAAAATCTATGGAAACTACCAAAAACACCGAAATAAACGGTCGGAAAAAAAAACAGAAAATTAGTCAAAGAATCGTAGAAAAATCGATAAAAGCTATGAAAATTTGTCTGACACCACACCCAAAATGATGCCGAAAAACTCAGGGATTACCCAAAACTCGAAAATTGTCAAAACCAACGTGAAGTGGTCAGAAAAATTTGAGAAAGGAAAGTTATCATTAACAGTTCTAATTACCAAATGTTGTAAAAAAAACTCGTGAAATATAGAAGAAACATCTTAAATCATATATAAACTGCTGAAAGCTGTAAAAAAGGGCCTGACACCAAGAAATTGCCAAAAGTCTGGAAACTACTAAAAACCAAAAGTAATCAAACTAAAAAAAAATAGGTAAACTGAATAGGTCTGTAAAATAGGTAGCCGATTACTGTGCAAGTGGCACAATGCTCCGACCATAGACTAAAAAAATACAACAAAGTTATTTCAAATTTTTGTCGTTTTCTATTTCGGCGTGGTGTGATCAAAAGAGCTAAACAAAAAACTTGAGATTAAGTGTATTCGACAGTCATACTAAAATAAGCAAATTAAAAAAGTTTTTTCAAAAAAGTTACTTGAAAGATGAAAAAAAATCAAATTGTCTGGAATTAAAGGCCAGTAATGACACTGTACTACCTCTTTAAGAGCTTATATAACCATAACATTCCAGATTTTTTCTCTGGAAATCTTGTGTTGTTTTTTACATAATTCAGTCTAGCAAAAAATATATAACTTGTCAAATTTGATTATTATTTGTTGGAATGACGTGAAATTGCTTGATAGTGATCTCAGAGGGTCGATAATGACTAATATATCCTCTATAGGAGCTAAAATAAACACGAATCGTATCCACGAAACAATTTATTCTACGACGCAACTATTCAATTTAGAATTTTTGTTTTAAAAAATCGAATGTGCAATTGAATATTGTCGGGTCGGTGTTTGAGTTGTTCTGAATTACAAATACGATGTTTTTAGACCTAATGCTTTTCTTTTTTAGTTAAATTAATATTATATTTACTGTTTTATCATAAGGTTTGTGGGGGCAAAAATCAATTTGCGAACTGATTTGGATTGCAATAGTTTCATTGTTTTCTCAGTGTAGAATAAAATGTCTGGGATCTATGAAGTATTATATATTCTGTAAATTTATTTTGGTTTTCAATAGAGTTTTAGTATCTATGTGACTTACATAATATTGATGTTTATTATCACAGCAATTCAAACTACGCGGTAGAATGAAGATAGTTTTTTCAGTTATTTCGAATGATATTTTCAAATGACAAGATTTAAGAACTGCGACTAAGTTTTTAGGCTAGCTGAATATTCCGTCATGACTGGAAAAGTAGATTCAATTTTCGCCACTTTCATACGGAGATCCACTTTCATACCGTGCAGAGAATTTGGACTATCGACCGATTTTCTGGAGCTGAATCGAAGAGTCGAACCGACGCCACAAGTGCCGGATGAACTGGATTGTGAATTGCAAGTCGACGATAAAACGATTGATCTCGTTTTCAAAGATGATAAAGTATCTTATAAAAGTTTCAAACAGCTGGACGAATCGATAGAAGCTGACTCGACTCTGGAAGATATTAAAAATGAAACCAAAAATTTAGATGTGACTTTGTGTGACGGCGAGAAATCAACTGTTTATGACAAAGTGGTAGATACGAAGCAGGAGACGAATAGTTTCACGGCAAATGAAGACGGGGACGATGTAATTGACTCTAACGCATACATGGAGGACCAATTGTGCACAGGTAGAAATTAGAAGCTAATTCATTGCGTAGTTTTCAGTATGTCAGAGGGATTTTTTTTTTATATTGCTCGGTCAAATAGACTCTGGTTTATGAAACTTATACTGAATTTGTTGATTGATACAAAAGAATGTATTGATTGATACAACCAAATATGACGCGATTTTTTCTCGCAATCAACTCTGACACTGTTGATTGTTTCGAAACTCCAACAGATTGTATCAGATTATTAACAGGTGGTGATTTTGGAACGGACAGTGACTTTGAGCTAAGTGCGAGTAGTTCAAGTGGCAGAGGAGGGGGTGGGGGAGGTCGGGCTAAAAAGACGAAGCTGAGGCAGAAAGTGTTGACTCAGCAGACCAAATGCACTTCTGAGAGAAAAATGAGTGGGAAAGACGGAAGAGATGATCACGTGTATTTGGAAAGAGTGAGGGTGTTGCGAGAAGTGTTGCCGACTCAGTTTAGAACCTGCTTTCTCTGTTCAATGTTAGAGTAACATGTCTTCTACGTGTCCTCTTTTGGGGGTTTTCTCTTTTTATTGAGCAATTAAGTTTTCCAAGATTCATATAAAGCTGAGGTTTTCTAATCCAAAATTGACTTTTTGCGACGTATTGTTCCAGGTTTTTTCTTGTGGCGAATGTCTCCAAAAACGCAAAAGATATAGTGCCCTCTATAAATTCATTGCTTATTTTATGAAAACCGTTTCGACCGTTTAACTTTTTCAAATCAACGAATAGCCAACAACCAAATGCAATAAAAAGTTGGAAGATCTAGATAAAAGTCTAAAAAAAGGCGTTGTATTCTAATCAGAAAACAGGCTGGAATATGATTTTAAAAGGTTTGGGCTCCTTATTCACGGAAAGCACTCATTTATTTGTTTTGGAAATCTGGAACCTGATCTAAACTATATTTTATGATTGGATAAATTAAATGTTTTACCAATGTAAAGTATTTAATATTAACCAATCATGATCCATCTAACTAACAACCCACTTATTTGTAAGTGCTGAAGTTACTTGTAATTTCAGCACCAGAGAGATTTGAATTTAACTTAGAAATTAGTTGGACTCTCCCGAGCACTTCAGCAGCCGCAATAAACCAGTATACCCTAGATCTATTGAGCCTAGCAGAGACTAGTTAAACAACCTGAGACTAGATAGTATAAGAGTAAGATTAGGATCGGTATTAGACTAAGAAGTTGCACGAATCTATCCGGCCGAAAATAAGATAGCGTGACGAGCAGACGGTGTACCCTATCCGAAATTACTCTATGAGTTATACACCCCAGTCTTAACTCATCTGGTGCGACCATAAGTCTCGAACAAGACCTTACTAGATTAGAATTAACCAAAAATAGATTAGAAATTAGACAAAAACATTTACAAAATGTTATACGACAATAATTTAATTGAAATGTCTCTCCGACTCAATAGATCAGAGCCAATCTTCCGAACCATAATAGAACTACCCGGAATTGGAAGAAGACCTCGAACCAAAGACGACATACGACAAAGTAGAAACTTGCCGTATAGTTATATGATAGTTCGGCAAAAGCCAGAACAAACTTTTATATTTCGAATACTACTTGCAATGAATTTAGATTTCCATTTGCAAACATAAAACCTTGAAGTTAATCTTCAACATCATTTCAGGCGCTAAACAAAATTAATATTATACAATAACGATTGATAAAAAGATCTAAGATCGTTTTCCTAAAACTCTGCAGTAATATACAAAACATGTTTGAAAAATATTTATTGGAAAATAAAAATAAAAATTAGTAGCATGACAATAAATGGTTAGTAATCATAAATCATCTTGTTGTTCCAGCTTCATCACCTAAAACATAACAGCAATCATCAACTCACTAATATCATCAAAACACTAAATCTTTCCTTTACACACATTCAAAACTTTATTAAAACTTAAAGTCACTTAATTTAAAATCAGATCATCAAGGCTTATCCTTGGATCTTAAATCATTTTCTACTTAATTAAATTTCAAACTTGATCATCAAGGCTTATCCTTGGATCAAACAGAACAACTTTGTTCTCCCCCACCCACTTAATTAGTGTCTAACGACCTCAAACGTCGATTCACTACCCAACCCTTTCTAAAAACCCAGGACTAATAGAAATTTTTACACAAAACTAATCATTCAAATTAGGATAAACAGTGAAGAACTTCGGTTATTCATCCTTCACTTGACCCCCCCTCTTACCAGACCCAGGATAAATCTTAGACTTAGTAAGTTTAAAATAGTATCTAACGAACTACTCGCGTTCTAATTATACCTGAACCTTGTGGATCGATTTACTATTCTCCAACCCTTGAACACAATCACTACCCCTAAGTAAGATTAAGTAAGTTAACACCTTAGCTTATACTAGTCACGAGAAAGTAAAAATCATTCTTCGGAATCGATATACTTTTCTCTCCAACCCTGAACAAAAAGACCCAGGTTAAGCTAACCAAAAAATCGTAAGAACTAACAGTTTAAGAAAATAGAAATCATTTAACAACTTTTTGCATCCGTCATTCTAAACCTTATGTCATTTAAAAACCTAGGAAATAAACAAACAATCATTTTACACAATTGTGAAATAGATAACAAAAAATACGACCTTGTAATCACACCTCATACACAAACAGTTGGATACATTCGCACAAAACGACAAACACTAAAGAGGAAAATAATAACTAAACAAAGACAAATAACACGAAAAAGATTTTCAAAAAATCGAAACGCATTTTCAGAATCAGAAACCAACAGTTTAGACGAACTTTACAAACTAAAAGAATCAATAGATAAAAATTACCCACTTCACGATCAATTATATTTTTCTGACTCAGAAACAACTTCAAATTCATCACAAAGAGGAAAAAGAAGAATAAAAAAACAGTACAAACACAAACCAGTACATCTATACAATTGGAATCAACCAATTCGACACATTAATAATTACATATTAACAGTCATCGAACGGAAAAATGAGTTCAACACACACCCCAGGTGACGAAACTCCAGATGATGATGAAATCTTTCCTTTTATAGTAGATGCAGATACTGATAGAGGACAACACATATTTTGTCAAAATTTACTTGTAAATTTATTTGAACCCGGAATCAGTCCATGTAAAACAGAGTTCCCCGATGTAAAAATCAAAAGACAAATCATAGATCACTATCTAAAAGATATATGCAACATAACACAACAGTATGGAATCTACTCTATAGAATTCACCTCCCCAAACCATAATAATAGAACATATACTATTCAAACAGACGATCTTGATTTAGAATTTTCAAAAGTTTTTTCAGAATATATAAAAAGCATCCAATACCATAACTCACAAAGAGCAAACTCCATATTCACCAATGAAGTTTTCGCAATAATATATAGTTATATTTCGATATTAGAAAATGAACTCCCACTAACAAATGTCTCACCGACAGAAACATCCAAACATTTGAAAGTACGACATGAAATTACACTACTCTCTAGTTATTTAAACATCATTAAAGAAAATTTCACGAAAGACGACGTTTCACAACATACCAAACACGATTTACAAAAAATTTTGGCATGGTTCATAATAGATTATTTCACACACAATATTGATTTAATTGCACAAGCAAGAAAAAATTTTCGACCCCAAAATTCGAACGATGATACCGCTATCACAGAACAATCAGATTATGTTTGGGACCCCGAATGGTCTCATCCCGCATTTATAAGCTTTCCACAATCAATCTCAAGTCAAGCAATAGGTACAATATCTTACATAAGAGATTATGTAAGAGTAATACCATTAACAATTGATGCAACACCATTAAACTATAATACATTTTTACCCGATACACAAAATAATAGTTTAAACTCGACAGTCATACACAACGAAAACCTCAATGGAACTAGGAATCTTACTCAACAAGATATCCAGACACCATCACACTTCATAAATGAAGAAATTGTACACACAACAACTACACAACAAAGTATTTCACCAATACGCCCAAATTTAACAACACCAAGAAATACAAACCCTTCACAAACACAGGTAACCTTACAATCAACCGTTAAACCTTCGGTTGCTCCAAAATATTCCCATATGGATTACCAAACATACAGACCCATGACAATACCATCAAAAACACGCAAAACATTCACTAGAAACAACTTTGCAGACCATAATTATAATTATACACATCCATCAAAAACAAATTATCAACCACAAAGGAATTTTAATCAATATACAAAACCTCGAAACTGGGATAACCCAACGGCCCAATATAATTCCAAAAATTTTCAACCAAATCCTCCACAGGATCGCAGTGAAAATTACCCATTTTTTCAACAGAATAAAAATAAAAAACAAACATCTTATCAAATGGATTATTTATCCTCAGATGACGATTTCTTACAACCAGATATATTTGCACCAAATACTCAAGAATATCGTAAACAAGGAATACAGAGAACACGTACAAATCATAGAAATTTTTCTCCACAATCAATAGATGCACAACATCAACAACCAATTCAACAACAAAATCCAATTAATACACAATCTTTTCAACCAATTCAACAACAAAATCCAATGACTGCACACTCGTATCAAGCATCACAAATGCAAAATGAAATACCACTCCCATATTATCTCCAACAACATGAAATAACAAGAAACCAACTTTCAAATTTTTCTCAAATGCCAAATGCAGCAGAATCATTACAAATGACAATGAATCCATACCTTATGGGTGGATCATCAATAACATCAAATAAACCTTTAATGGTCTTCACAGGAACAGACCCTGAATACTCTGTAGAAGATTATTTAAATGCAGTAACAGCAAATTTGATTTTAAATATAGGACCTGAACCAATTAACACGCCACTACATCAAAACTGGATACATCGACGCACAGCGTTGATACAAACAACCTTAGATGGCGCAGCCCAAAAATGGTTTTCAGTACTACCTCTAGAAATAAAATCAAACTGGAAAAGGTTTACACAGGAATTTTCAAAAATGTTTGACTCCGAAAGAAACAAACAACAACAAAGAGTTTTATGTAATGAAATTCGCAGATTACCAAACGAAACCATCAAGCAAATAGCAGTACGAATCGAAACACTAGTTCGAAAAGCATACTCACTAAATACACATGACTATAAAAACACAAAGATGACAGAAATCTTAATGATGACCTTAACACCACAATTAAGGAAAATAGCAATAAAAAAGAGAGCATCCCATCCTTCTTCAATTCGAGAACCCGATTTAGATTTTCGAAAACTAGTAGACAAATTAGAACAAGCAGAAATCACGATGAAACTAGAAGAAACGGAAAATCTGAAATTACAATACGTTAACAGAATTGAAACGACTCCCACTAATATTAATAATATACAGGAATCAGAGACAGACCTCGTTGAAAAAATCACTGAAATACTCAATATTTACGAAAAGAACCCGAACT